GGGAGAGGTGGTGGATATGGTCAGATTAGGGGAGAGGTGGTGGGTGTGGTCAGATTAGGGGAGAGGTGGTGGATATGGTCAGATTAGGGGAGAGGTGGTGGGTGTGGTCAGATTAGGGGAGAGGTGGTGGATATGGTCAGATTAGGGGAGAGGTGGTGGGTGTGGTCAGATTAGGGGAGAGGTGGTGGATATGGTCAGATTAGGGGAGAGGTGGTGGGTGTGGTCAGATTAGGGGAGAGGTGGTGGATATGGTCAGATCAGGGGAGAGATGGTGGGTGTGGTCAGATTAGCAGAGAGATGGTGGGTGTGGTCAGATTAGGGGAGAGATGGTGGGTGTGGTTATAGTGAGGGGGGCATGGTGCCGGTTAGGGAGAGTGGGGGTGAGTGTGGTCACAGGAGGAGAGGGGTGGTGGGCATTGGTGATAAGGGGGGGGGGGATGCTCACAGTGGGTTGGGGGTAATAGTGGGGGAAGGTTCACTGTGAGGAAGGTAATCATGGTGAAGAGGGAAGGTCATCGTATGGAAGGGAGCAGCAAGTAGTGGGGGAGGAGGGTGGTGTCATGGTGGGGGAGGAGGGTGGTGTCATGGTGGGGGAGGAGGGCAGTGGGTAGGGGAGGAGGGTGATGTTATGGTGGATGAGGGTGCAGAGGGGAAGGAGGGCAGTGTCCTGGTGAAGGAGGAGGGTGCTGTAATATCTCTCACCTCGATCTCTACGGTCTGGAAGTTGAATGCGGACGTGCGGATGCCGACCTGCTCTCCCACGTTGATGACGTCCGGAGCCTCAATGTGCAGGAAGTACGGCCGCCGACCCTTGTACTGCAGCGACGCGACAAACACACAAATAAGCGATCTCTCACCCAAAAAACATCCCCAACCACCCACCCTCACTCTCATGACAAGCGAACGCCTGCCCTCGCATATGACAATTGAATGCCCGCCCTCGCGCAGAACAAGTGAACATCTCACGCGAAAAAAATTCGCAACCACCCACCCTCACTCTCAT